TGAGACTGGATTTGAACTCATGAAGAGAAGCCTTCCTGACTTCAAGCCCAGCACTCTGTCCACTGTGCTACCTAGCTGCCCTCTAAACTCTAGCGGCTCTCTATTGCCTCTAGGTGCAAGACTTATTACCTATTACTCCTCTTTTCATGCACATCAGCCAGACTTGGTGTCATTACTCCTCACAAAGGAAACTCCGTCTCCTACCGCCTTGCCTTTGCGTACTGCCTCCTTGAGGAGGTCGCAGTATAATGGGGTGAGAATGTAAACAATTGTGTATAAACAAGCAGTATACTGGATAAAAAACTATACAGTGTGTGGGCATTTTCTCACTGTCCCCCATGCCTGGAAGGTTCTCCCTCCTCTTCTCTAACTACTAACCTTTAAATCCTAATTCCACCTTCCATAGGAAGCCTTCTCCAAATCCTCGTAATTCCAGAGCCTTCCCTCTGTTAATTATTTCTCATTTATCCTGTACATACCTTGCTTTATATCTATTTGTCTTTATGTGGGCTCCTCCATTAGATTATAAACTCCTTGTGGGCAGGCACTGTCTTTTGCATTTTTATCACCAGCACTCATCACTGTGCCTAGCGCAGTAAGTGCTTAGTAAATGTTGATTGATTGATAAATAGGAAATAATCAAGAGAGGGAAGGCATTAGAATTAAGAGGGATTGGGAAAGAAGATAAGATTTTAGCTGGGACTTGATGGAAGCCAGGGTGGTAGAAATGAGCGGGAAGAGTATTCTAGGCAAGGGGGACAGCAAATAAAAATTCCTGGAAGCTTACTGTCTGGTTCATAGAACAGGGTGGATCAAAGAATGCCATGCTGAGGTATAAGATATAAGAAGATTGGAAAGGTTGGGAGATAGGAGGAAGGGAGCATTTTGTATTTGATCCTGAAGTGAAGTGAACTGAAGTTCATTGAGTAAGGGCTTGGGGTGGAGAGAAGGGTCAGGAGGCATATGATTGGACCTGCACTTTAGAAAAATCACCTTGGTGCCTAATAGGGGACGGATTGGAGTGGGGAGAGACTTGTGGCAAACAGAGCAACCAGCAGGCTATTGCAATATTCCAGACGTGAGGAGATGAGAGCCTAACCAGGGTAGGGGTGGTTCCAGAGGACAGATACTGCAAGGATGGATCTATAGGCAACAGATTGGATATTATGAGGGGTGAGAGAGAGAGTGAAGAATATGGGGCAGGTAGGTGGCGCCGGCCCTGAAGTCAGGAGGACCTGAGTTCAAATCCAGCCTCAGACCAAACACCTGATACTTATTAGCTGTGTGACCCGGGGCAAGTCACTTAACCCCAATTGCCTAAACAAAATAAAACAAAAAAAGGAATAGAAGATGACACCTAGGTTGCAAGGGAGAAATCTATAGGCAAGACTTGGAAGATGGTGGTAGCCTTGACAGTAATAGGGAAGTCTATTTTATGTTTCCTGATAGAGAATGTAAGTGCCTAGAGGGCAGAGAGTGTTTAATTTTTGTCTTCATATACTCAGAGCCTGTTACAATGCCTAGTACATATTAGGTATTTAATAAATGCTTATTGATTGGTTGGTTGATTTATGTAAGAAATGTTATAGAATCGGTAAGACTTGGCAACAGATTAGAATTTGAGGGGAGAAGGAGGAGGCAAAGACGACACTGAAATTTAGAACTTTGGTTGACTGGAAGCATGGTGAGGCCCTGGACAGAAACAACAGTGTTGACGTGGAGAGGCAGGTTTTGTTTTATTGTGAGATTAGGTCTGCGGAGCATTTAGGGGCACAGAAATGATGAGATCAGTATCAGTATTTATTGCTTGCCTACTACGTAGCCAAGGTGTCCCACTGCATGCAGGTCCATCTCCAGTCCTCCTGATCTATATTTTGCAACTGGACCCAGATGGCTCCGGAGGAGAAAGTGAGGCTGGTGACCTTGCAAAGCTCTGCCTCACTTAAATCCCATTCACTTGCAAGTCATGGCATCACCTCCTGGATGTCATGGTCTTCTTCAAGAGCCAAGGATAAACAACTTCTACTACTATGTAGCTAACAGGTATTGTGACAGGTGATGTGGAGATAAAGGACAAGCACAAATATTCCCTGACCACAAAGGAACTTATGACCTTTTTGTGCCCATTAGTCTAATCTCAACTCTGAAAAAGCCATTTATGATCACACCCCCTCCTCCTTTTCCATCACATCTTCCAGCTCCATTAGATTGGGCTGACCCAGCCAGGAAAAACTGATTGGGTTCTGTTTAATATTTCCAATCTCTATGTAGGACTGAGAGCCTGAGGATGGGGGAGGTGGGGAATTAGGGTGGACAGAAGACAGAAGGCAGCTCAATTCCATGCCCCTGCCCTACTAGAAAGAGCAATTGGTCTTGGAGTGATTAGAACCCAGTTTGATCCTAGGCTCCAACACTTTCTAACATGAGTCACTTAGCTTATCTGAGCCTCAGTTTCCTCATCTGTAAAATGAAGATGATGCTTGCTCCACTTATACCTCCCTGAGTTGTGAAAAAAATTACTTCTTTGCAAACCTCAGTTCTTTAATGAACCTTGCAAACCTTAACATGCTACGTAACCGTGAATTATGAGTATTTGCCACCGCAATGATTCCCCAAATACTCCCCAGGGTCCATCAGCATACCCCAATAATAATTATAACAGCTCACATTATGCAATGTTTTAAAACCGTTCCATATACATTATATCATTTAATTCTGCAAATATCTTCATCTCCTTCCCTCCCATTCCATCCCCAGAGCAAGAACAGGAGACACAGGAGGGCTATAGATGGTGGGCCAGGCGCCACCTCGGGGGGGCCAGCCCTTGTCTTCATTAGACCCAAGTTTTCTCTAAGTCTGTGAGATAGCAGCACCCCCTGGTGATGGGTGTGGGGAAAGGGAGTCATGGCCGGTGAATGTGAGGAGGCTAGGAGAGATGCTCCCTCCCCTGAGATCCCCACCCCTCATTCCCACCCTGTTTCCCTTTCTCATTTTTCCACCCCAGACACCTGTACTTAAAGGGGTGGGACTAGGGGTAGAGACAGGCTTTTCTTAGCCTCTCAGTGGCAGGAAGGGGAAAAGTCAGTTTCCTGCCCTCCCTGGCCCATTGTGGAGGTGGACTGAGGGAGGGAGGGGAAACAGTGAGGAAGGGGAAGGAGAAGAGGAGGATCAGTCCCCAGAAAGGGAGGGACCTGCTGACCAGAGGTACCAAACACAGCCTGAATGAGGTTCATCAGGACCCAGAATGCAGCTAGGACTCAGGGTCCAGTGACACCACACACACACACACACACACACACACACACACACACACACACACACTCACCACCCACTGCCCCCTGAAAGAAACTGGGATTTCCTTCCAGTAGCCTGGAGGAATTCACTTCAGTTCAACAAACATGTTTACCTACTTACTATGTCCACCGCACTGTCCTAGACAGGAAACACAGGATGGAAAAAGCCCAAGTCCCTGCCTTCAAGGTACAAATACATACATGGTCGTTTGGGGAGAGAAAGAACACTGCCGGCTGGAGGTACCTAGGAGGAAAGACTTCATGGAGAAGATGGCACCTGATAAAAATCCCGGAAGAAATGAAGATGGAATACGTTCCAAGCATCTGGAACTGTTCGGGCAAAAGCACGGAGGCAGAAGATTTTTTGTAAATATTGTACAAAAAAATATGACTGCATTAAGACTTTGGGAACACCTTTTATTTATTAATCTCCCATAGCCTGTGCCCACACCTTGCCCTCTTATCTTTTGTAAATGTTATTATCCTCTGAGTCTAGGAAGATGATGGCTCAGGGAGAGAGAGAATGGCAAAGTGGTTTTTAATGCCCCTGGCAAACACACGTAACTCCTGTCCCAATGCCAGACGACTCTTTCTTAGTACACAAAAAGTGACTTCCCTTTCCTGATTACTGGAAGAGAGAGCTCATAAAGGGCAGGTAGTCATGTGATAAGATCAGAGGGTCATAGGTCTAGGTTTGGCCACTTCTGCGCTGGAGAGTTGGATTTCCTGATTACCATTTGGACGACAGGATAAAAGACCACTGTTCTTGGTTTGGGTCTTCTGGTCCTCTATGGATAGACCAGAGCCAGATTAGTACTGAAGAGGCAGCCTAGAGGGTGAACCAGAGACAGAGCCTTGAGCTCTGGGATGGGGGATCTCTAGTTCCATGCTGTAACTTCATTAGGCCAGTGGGCTGGAGATGGAAAGTAATTTCTCTCATAATCTTTCCTCCACTTTCCCCAGTTAGGGTCAATGATCCTGAGCCAGGCTCAGTCCAACATGTCCCCTTCCCTTATTTCCATGAGCCTCAGTTAGGGAGTTGGGGGTCTATAATTCCCCCCTGCCAGTCATCCCTGAAGATTTGGAAGGGCAAGCAGGAGGAGGTTTAGAAGATGGCCCAAGCAAAGCCAAATAGGCAGCATCAGCAAATAAACAATATGTATACTGACAAATAGAAAACAAATGGAAAGAACGCCAAACAACTCAACCACAAAGAAATGTATTATAATAACCAAGCTTGACCCTGAAGAAGAGCAGACCATAGGTATGGAATACTGTTTCATAGACTGTCAGTCTCAACTGATATGCTAGTTAATTTTACTGAACAGCCCTTTTTCTCCCTTTCCTCCAGGTAGGGAAGTGGAGAGTGATATATTTGGAAATGAAGGTGATGTCAGAATATAAGATATTAAGAAAAAAATGCAAGCAAACAAACAAAGGAGATGGCTGGAAACCTATGGTATCTATTTCCAATTTCACTTCGTTTAATAAATTATGTGATGACATGACTAATATGGAAATATGTTTCACATGATTGCACATATGTCAAACTGTTTACCATCAGGGAAGGGGGGAGGTAAAGAAAGGAGGGTGAAAATTTGGAGCTTAAAATTTTTTAAAAGTGAATGTTAAAAATTGTCTTTACATGTAATTGTAAAAAATAAAATACTATTAAATTTTTTTTTAATTTTTAAAAATGACAGTATTTGGAGTTTCTGAGTCTACAGATGCAGGGGAAAGGGGAGAGTCCTGACAATTGGGGTGGGGAGAATGATCTATGAAGACACCACAGATCTCATATTTTGATGTGTAGAATGATAATTCCTAGATGGATTCTGGGCAGGGGCTGCATCACCACAGAACAAATCTGAAGTTTGCTCCACAGCAAAATGTGAAGTGGTTCTCTTCACTTTCTCACCATTCCTGTGCTGCAGTCTGACTTCTTTTCCAACTGAACTACTGAAACTGCTTTCTTTGAAGAATTTTCTTCTCATCAGTGGAATAGGTTAGGTATCTAAGACACAGACACAGTAGTGAATGACTATATATAGTAATCTACTGTTTGATAAACTCAAAGACCCCAGCCTCTGGGATAAGAACCCACTCTTTGAAAAAAACTGCTGAGAAAACTGGAAAAGAGTTTGGCAGAAACTAGGCATAGGCCAAAAGTTTACACCATATACCAAAATAAAGTCAAAATGAGTTCAAGATTTAGATATAAAGGCTGATACTGTAAGCAAACTGGGAGAGCAAGGAATAGTTTGCCTATCAGATTTATGGAGAACAGAAGAATTTATGACCAAACGAGATAGAGAACATTATGAAATACAAAATGGATAATTTCAATTACATTAAATTGAAAAGTTTTTGCGCAAAGCCAATGCAACCAAGATTAGGAGGGAAGCAAAAAACTGGGAAAGAATTTTTACAATCAATGTCTCTGATAAGGGTCTCATTTCTAAAGTATATAGAGAATTAAGTCAGATTTATAAGAACACAAGTCATTCCCCAATTGGTAAATGGTCAAAGGACATGAACAGGCAGTTTTCAGATGAAGAAATTAAAGCCATCTATAGTCATATGAAAAAATGCTCTAAATCACTATTGATTAGAGAAATGCAAATCAAAACAGCTCTGAGGTACCACATCCCACCTATCAGATTGGCCAACATGACAAAACAAGAAAATGATAAACGTTGGAGAAGATGCGGGAAAATTGAACACTAATGCATTGTTGGTGGAGGTGTGAACTGATCCAATCATTTTGGAGAGCAATTTGGAACTATGCCCAAAGGGCTATAAAAATGTGCATACCCTTTGACCCAGAAATAGCACTTCTAGGGCTGTATCCCAAAGAGATCAAACAAATGGGAAAAGGATCCACACGTACAAAAATATTTATAGCAACTCTTTCTGTGGTGGCAAAGAATTGGAAATTGAGGAGATGCCCATCAATTGGGGAATGGCTGAACAAGTTGTGGTATATGAATGCAATGGAATACTACAGTGCTATAAGAAATGATAGGCAAGTGGAATTCCGAAAAACCTGGAAAGACTTGTATGGACTGATGCTGAGTGAAGTGAGCAGAACCAGGAGAACATTGTACACAGTAACAGCCATGTCGTGCAATGACTAACGTTGATAGACTTAGCTCTTCTCAGCAACGTAAGGATCTAAGACATCTCCAAAAGTCTCATGACGGAAAATGCCATCCACATCCAGAGAAAGAACTATGGAGTTTGCATGCAGATCAAAGCATACTATTTGCTGTTTTTTTTTCTTGTTTTGTTTCTTCTTTCTTGTGGTTCCTCCTATTGGTTCTAATTCTTCTTTACAACATGACTAATGTGAAAATATGTTTAGTAGGAATGTATATGTAGAGCCTATATCAGATTGCACACCATCTTGGGGAGGGAGGAGGAAAGGGAGGGAGAGAAAATTTAAAACTCAAAGCTTATGGAAGTGATTGTTGAAAACTAAAAATTAATTAATTAAAAAAAATTTTTTAAATTATTTCCTTCTTGTCAAACCAATGGTCTTTTTCTTAGTCGTTATTCTTCTTAACCATATGACTTCAGACACTGTCAATGACCACCATTCACTTCTTAGAGGTGGGGGAAATCTGTCTAATCGTCTCTAGGCTGAATATCCTCTAGGAACCAGTGTTAAGAGGACTATTCCACTCATGCGCCAAAGACTCTGCCAAAGAACACTGGAGTGATGGCTCCAGTAGGATGCTATCTGGTGAGCAAATGAGATATTGGATCATTTATCTCTTCCTTGAAGTCATATGGACATACCAGATGACTTCCCACACTTTCTATCTTGATATATACAAGTGACTGTGATATGCTATCTTTCTGCAGGCCTAAAGGAAACTATTTCCCCAGCCACATGACCCAATTGGTCCCCAAAGAAGGGGCCTTGGGGGCAGCTAGGTGGCACAGTGGATAGAGCACTGGCCCCGAAATCAGGAGGACATAAGTTCAAATCCAGCCTTAGACAGATAACACTCACTAGCTGTGTGACTCTGGGCAAGTCACTTAACCCCATTGCCTGGCTACCCCCCCCCCCAAAAAAATCACATATACAAAGAAGGGGCCTTGGAGGGCCACAGGGATCACACTCCCACTATGTGGAGCATCCCATGCCAGGTACTAAGGAAATTGCTATCTTCTAAATCCAAATGTTCTCGTATCCCCTTTTTATCCCAGCCCCTTTGTTTCAAAAAGTAGCATCTCTGTTTCCTAGGATCATTTAGTCACTCTTTTCTCTAGCCTAGCTTCGAGGACATTTCCAGATTTCTCTGTGATTTTCTTGTGCTAAGCCCCAATCCTATCTCCTCTTCTCTCTGACTTCCATCTCAGGATATCTACTCAATTCCTGTTTGGTTTTTTATTTATTTATTTATCTATTTTTAATTTTCAACATTCACTTCCCTAAGATTTTGAGTTCCAAATTTTCTCCCCATCTCTACTTTCTTCCCACCCCCCAAGACTCAATTCTCCTTTTACTGAAAAAATGATATGGGTTCCTTCATCTGCTCCTCTTCTTCTTTACAACTCAACATCAATCTTTTTTTTTTCAATTTGTGATATGTTGGTTAGACTCCCCTCTCTCCCCTGCATCTATGGACTCAGAGACTTCGAAAACTACCATCGCATAGTATACTTAACAAAATGAAATTGGAAATAGATATCTGTGCCTCCATTCATCTCTTTTGATCGATCGTTCACTTGTATTCTCTTATTCTTCCCACAGAGTGCTTGTTGTGTCTTTCTCGGTCTCCATTAAACTCTTCCTGACCCCATTTGGGGTTTTCTTGACAAAGATACTGAAGTGGTTTCTATTTCCTTCTCCAGCTCATTTTACAGATGAAGAAACAGAGGCAAACAGGGTTAAGTGACTTGTACAGGATCACACAGCTAGTAGGCCAGATTCAAACTGAGATTATCCAAACTCTAGGCCCAACACTCTATCTGCTGCCCACAGAAAAGCATGGAATGATTTATATGAACTGATACAAAGTAAAGCAGAACCAAGATACTCAACGATTGCAGTGATATAAATGTAAAGAACAACAAAATAATAGAAAGTGAATGTTGGGGGACAGGTAGGCTGCACAGTGAATAGAGCACTAGCCCTGGAGTCAGAAGGACCTGAGTTCAAATCCAGCCTCAGACCAGACACTTGACACTTACCAGCTGTGTGATTCTGGGCAAGTCACTTAACCCCAATTGCCTCACCCCCCCAAAAAAAGTGAATTGGGGAAAAAGTATAATGATTGGGCTTGCCCCAAAGAAAAGATATGAGATGATACTCCCTTTCTACTCCTTTGCAGAAAGGAAGGGTAGTTGGCATGGATGCCAAATATCGCCCATAATGTCAGACATTGTTGGTTAGTTTTGTGGAACTTTTTTCCATTCCCTCCATTTTTTATTATAAGGGATTTCTCTCAGGGAAGGATACAGTAGGAATGCAGGTGATGTAAAAACAAGAGATAATTAATAAAACTAGTTTCTAAAACAAATGAACAAATAAAGCTACCCTTTCTGCTTGAGCTCTGGATCCCATCCTTCCTGACTCCAGAGGAAACTTGCTCTCACAATTATACCTTCTCTCCCCCAGCATCTTCAATCCCTCCCTCTTCCTTTAAACAAAGTCTCCCCCACCTCTTGAATGCATCATCTTCCCTCCCCTGCCTCCACCCCCAAACCTGTTCTTCTACCTGACTTCCCTATGTCTGTGATTGCACACATCTCCAAGGCTGATGACCTGAGTCATTTCTGACTCCTCCCTCTTCCTCACCACCCCCATCCAATAAGGTGCCAAGCCCTGTGGATGTTATGTCACACTCATCAGTCAACTCTTTCTCATTCCCCATCGCCACCTTTGTTCACATCCTCATTAACTCATCCCTGGATTATTGCAATACCTCACCCCACTCCCTCCCCAAGAGTTGAACTCTCTACCTCACCTCCAATTCATCCTGGCACACTGATGCTGGAGTAGTCTTCATAAGGTACAACTGCAACGTCATCACTCCCATCCTCAAAATCTTTTGAAAGCTCCCCATTGTCCAAGCTATAATTTCAAACTCCTTAGTTTCAAGGCTCTACATAAACTACCTTTCAACTCCAGCCTTATTTTTTTTAGCTTTATTTTGTATTTCTCTATTTTGAATACCCCTGTGTTATAGCCAAATCAGATTATTCACCATTCCTCAAACATTCCCTATACTTTCCTATCTCTCCAATGGTACTCTGATAAATGTTTAACGATAACCTCTTCAGGGAGGGAATATCTGAACCACAGAGGTTTCAGTTTCATTTGCATTATTTATATTTTCTCCATCACTTTCTTAATTTTGGAATAACAATCAATAAAACAATAAACCAAGCCTTGATTTATAGGGCTTGTTGATTTCTGAGGTAAAAATGCTCACAATGGAAAATTTAACAATGGGCTCTCAACTGATTCAAGTTAGCTCAGCACACCTCTGTCTGCACTTCTGCAGATAAGCAGTATGGGCAGCTAGGGAGTGAAGTGGATTGAGTGCTAGCCCCAGAGTCAGGAGGACCAGAGTTCAAAATTCAAAACAGGCCTCAGACACTTACTAGCTATTTGACCCTGGGTAAGTCACTTAATCTTGTTTGCCTCAGTTTCCTAATCTGTAAAATAACTGGAGAAGAAAATGGCAAACTACTCCTGTATCTTTACCAAGAAAACCCCAGATACATGACTGATCAACTAAATAACAACAATAATAAGAAGGACGGCATAATGGACAGTCAGCGGGCACAAATTTTACCTGTGACACATAGTAGCTCTGTACCTTGAGCATTCTCCCTCCTCTCCCCTACCCCCCTACCCCCGCTGTAAATTGCAGAAAAGTTACCTATGTTTAGTTGGAGTTTCTTCACAGAGAGTTCCTCACATCGATGGGATCACAGGTCCAAAACAAGATCCCCTAACGAAAGAAAAGTCAGTCCACACCATTTTCTGTGCTAGGAGTCCTCTCTCCCTCCATCTCTATCTGTTGAAACTTGGACTCAAGTCTTCTTAACCCCCAGGCAGAACCAGCTGACCATCCATCACACAAAGTTGTAGACAGAGGTGTTCTGGAGCCAGCTTGAGTTAGCTGTCAAGAGTTGATTATTACAATTGCCTCACCAAAAAAAAAATAATAATAAAAAAATAAAGAGTTGATTATTAAATTTTCCACTATGAACATTTATACTTCAGAAATTAGCAAACCCTACAAATCAGAACTTGATTTAATTTTTTGGTGATTGTTATTCCAAACTTAAGGGAAAATATTACCTCTCCTTCAAAGCCCAACTTGAATATTATCCCCTCTGTGAAGCTTTTCCTGTTTCCCTTTTCTTGGAAGCCATCTAAGCCTCCTCTGAACTCAACTTTTTGTTTGGAATCTCTCTTATGAATGCATCACCACCTACTTTAAATTGTGTGTATTTGTGTACAATAAATGAGATAATGTATGTAAAATGCTTTGAAAAATTTAAAGTACTCTCTAAGTGACATACAATAAGTTATAAATTCTTTAAGGGCTGGAACAATGTCTTATTCATCCTTGGGCAGGTGCAATGTTTTATTTATTTTTTGTATCTCTTTTCCTGTCCTCTCCCCAGTTATTTCGTGTCCCTCCAGCATTGTGACATGCTCAGGAAGGACTCAGTAAATTTTTTATTGAATGGATGACAAGCATTCACTGAATACTGCTGTCAATTTCTGCTGCCCTATTTCTCTCCAACCCATCCCTGACCAAGAGTCTCCTCTGCATTATATCTGACAAGTGATCAAACTTTTACTTGAAAACTAGAGGGGGGTGGAAACCTGCTGTAAACAGCATTGTACCTGGATCACCTAATGTGCATTCACCCACATGGGAAATTCCAGGAACCAGCTCCTGGGAGAAAATATTCTGCATTCTCCTACCACTGGGGTGGGAACAGTCTCTTTCCATTGGCTATGTAGCCAGAACAGGTTTTATTTTTAAAAACATCAGGCTAGGATAGCCTCTGTCTGTGTCTTTCTTTCTCTCTGTCTGTCTCTCTGTCTCTGTTTCTCTCTGTCTCTTTCTCATCCAAAGGGAGTGAAGATCCTGTTCACCCACAACAGGGGCACTATGAACTGAAACTTACAGGCCCTTTAGGCTTTGTAGCCCAGAGAAATGGGCTTAGGTTTTTCATCTCATCTGTTTCATTTATACTTTTCAGTTCTAGGCACAGTTGTTGAAGTCCTCAGACCTGGACTTAAATCATGGCAACCTTGGAAACAGGATTACTCCAGGCCAGATATTGCTGCCAGCCCAGAAGGAAAACCCTGAGAAGACAGAATTCTCAGGACTGGAGCCCAAGGGAGGCTTTGGACTTGGGACTTTATGGAACTGTGCCATGTAAGAAACTGTGCTAAACTATGAACCCTAATCTCCTTCCTCTCCTCAGAGACTGATGTGGGGCAAGGGACAATTATGACCCAGAGTCGAGAGGCAAAATGTTTGTATGTTTGTTCTGCCTATACCTTTGAAGTAAACATTCCTTTGTAAAAGCTAATCTGACTGTTAAATGGAACTGGGATGCAGAGGACCCCTAAAATTGAAGGAACACAGTCAGTAAAGACTGGAGCCAATGGTGGAGAGACTGGACATCCCCTTAAAACCCCTTAAAGGTACCAGAGAATCCTGGGGAAGCAAGGAGATGTAAGCAAGTGTAACCACTGTTACACTACCATCTCCCCACTGCTAAGAATTTGTTTCTTTATATCTGCCTCTCTCAACTTCTATCACTGCTTCTAATTCTGCCTTCTGGGACTAATGAGAACAAGTCTCCTCCTTTCTCCACAAGACAACCTGAAGAAGTTGCTGCCTTCACTTTCTCATCATTCCTTCTTTCTTTCACCACCCCCTTCACGCCCCCCCCTTTCCCTGGAATTTGGCTTCCGTTCCCATAAGACTATTGAAACTACTTGCTCATAAGTCACCAATGACTTCCTGTTTGCCAAGTCTAAGGGCCTTTTCTCAGTTCTCATTATTTTTAGACCTTACTTCAGCATCTTCAGACACTGTTGACCACTGCTGTCTCCTTAAAACTTTCTCTTCCCTGGACATCCTCGTTGATCAGCTACCCAATCTGACCTCTTCTCTTTGTCCAAGATCTTATTTTCCCACTGTCTTGTATTGCATGTATAAATCTTTGAATTAACATATCCTGCTTCCCCAAGTGGGCTGCAAACTTTGGGGGGAAGGAATTCTGTCTACATATTCCCAAAAGCACTTATCCATTGACATATGCAGTGATACTAGAGCCAGCTCAAACCAGCCAAGCCAATAGTAAATTTTCAGGGAGAGCATTTATACCTCAGAAATCTTCGAACGGGGCTTGGATATATTGTTTTTATTGATTGTCTCTAGACTTAAGAAAGTGATGGAGAAAATATTAATTATGCAGATTAAACTTAAAATCTACATATACTTTCTAAAAAATAGGGAGCCAGTTATTAAACATTTTATCAGCACACCACTGGGCATATGTTTAATAATGCAATCAAACATTTGTTAAGTTTTGAGGGGGGCACTGGGGGTAGAAACAAAGCAATGGACCCAGCCCTCAAAGAGCTTCCCTTCTACTCTTTAAGAAACAAATGGCCAAAAGAATAGAACCCTGGGCCTGGAATCAGGAAGATCTGAGTTCAAATCCAATCTCAAACACTTACTAGCTATGTGAACCTGGGCAAGTCATGTTACCTCAGTATCTTCAACTGTAAAAATGGGAATAATGACCGCACCCACCTTGCAGGGTTGTCATGAGAATCAGATATGTTAATATTTGTAGAAAGCACTTAGCACAGTGCCTGGCACATAGCAGATGCTAGAGGCCTATTTCCTGCCCTTATCAAGAGCTAAAGAAATCCTAGAGAACTCCGAAAAACAAAAGAAAAATGTCTGCATGGAAGCGTAAACATCCGTATTTCAATCCACTGGTGATCTCATTGACATGAGTATTCCCTACAAACATACAGACTGCAAGCCATTCATGGCTTTTCGTCTTGTGCAACTCTTTGTCTATGGTCTCCCATAAATCTTCCATAATGGTTCCACCTGACATGCTTGGGGGCCTCTCGGAAGATTTCTTTTTTTAAAAATTCATTTTAATTTAATTATTTTTTCCTTTTATTTATTTTTTTAGGCAATTGGGGTTAAGTGACTTTCCCAGGGTCTCACAGCTAGTAAGTGTCAAGTGTCTGAGGCTGGATTAGAACTAGGCCCTCCTGACTGCAAGGCCAGAGCTGTATCCACTGTGCCACCTAGTGCCACCTAGCTGCCGCCCCTCCCCCCCCCCCCCCCCGCAGATTTCTTGACCGTAGGTGAGTACCAATACAATTTTCAAGGTATTGTCTGAATCTCACATCCTCAGTGCACGTAAGACCTACCTCATAAACTGTGTTCAGTTCCAACCTTACATTACTTGGGGGAAAGGGGTAGAACAGTGTTGCCGCTAAAAGTACAGAGTCTAATATTCATCAGGAGCTTGGGAGCAGGGAAGGGATCAGAGCATAACTATTGAGTCGGCAGACTACCCGTCACTCCATAGCAACCCCCCATCCCCCGAAGTTACTTATTAAGGCTCTAAGGTCCAAGATTCTTCATGAGATACTTTTTAGAGAGAGTCATACAGAGTCCAACACTCCCTATTTTGTTATGTATTTTCTATATCACCTATTTGTGTATGTGACTTTCAGCTGGAACTGGATTGTAAACTTTTTGAGATCCGAGCCTGTCGGAGCTATCTTTGTGTCCCTATCACTTAGCATAGTGCTTGATAAATGTTTAATGAATGAATTGCATGACTGCCCAGATGCAGATACAGTGAGGCGGGGTTGGGGTGCGGGGAAGGTTGACAAAGGCAGGTGGGAAATAAAAAATTAAAAGTCGAGAAGCCATTACTTCGGAAAGACTTAAACAGGGAGCTAGGAATATCTTCCTGGGGTTTTCCAGGCCAGGTTTCCTGGCACAGGATACTCTTAAGCACTAAGACACTAAAGGCATTGAAAGGCATTAAGATGCTAAAAGCATTAAACTCTCTCCCCTTAAATGGTTCGCGATGTTGTGGAAAGAACACTAAGTGGGGGGAGTCAGATGACCTGGGTTCTAATTCTAGTTCTGTTGTTATTTAATAACAAGCATTAACTTCCTGCTTTGAGGTTTGCTAAGCACTCTGTTCATCTTACCTCACTTGATCCCCACAACAACACCTGTGACGAATACTATTTAATATCCCCATTTTACAGATAGTCAAACTGAGACGCAGAGGGGTTAAGGGACTTTCCCCGTGTCGCAGGGCTTAGTTTCAAACCGAGGTGTTCCGGAGTGGAGGTTCAAAACTCTATCGGGCCACCTAGCAGTGATGTCACTTAACTTGGCCTCACTTTCCACATCTATAAGATGAAGGGGATGGATTGGATGACTTCTAAGATCCCTTTTGGCTTTATAAATATGAGCCTCGTGTAAACCTGGTGTAAGGCTAGCGCTAGGTGAGGACGGAGAGAAGAGGGCACACAGTGGGACACTGTAGGCGCTTAATAAATGTTTATTTACTGGCTTTAGTACCTCCATCCTAGAACTCTAAGGGCAAAGGGGTTGGAGGTGTACTTGAGAGTTAAATATATATCAGGGAATGAGTTAAAGCCTGCCCCGAAAGGAAGGGTTAAAGGTCCAATGGAGAAGCATTTAAAGGGCCAGACTCAGGGGTGGTTTTGGGGGGGGGGGTCCCCTCTGCTCCTGCTGTTAAGGAAGTCCTGGCAAAGCAGGGAAGAGGTTAATGAGGACCGGGGGGGGGGGAGGAGCCCAGCGAGGTGATTGGCAGGAGATGGGGCCAAGTTGACGTCACTCCCCCCTCCTCTCCTCCCCCTCATTCCGGGACCCACAGCTGGGGGGACCGAGGGTGCGCAGGAGGGCTGGGAAAGTTGGGGGCAGTCACCTCTCCCTGCTCCCTCCTTCCCTCCCCCCTTCTTCCTCAGCAGGAAGTGGGAGCCAGGACCAGCAAAGTTGAGAGAGCAGGAAAGGCCCCATCCGACTGACAGACAAAGTTTGACCACAAGAGGAAGTGGCCCTGAGCGAGCCCTGGGAGGGAGCCGGCTGGCCTGAGCAGGGGGCACCCGCTTGCCCACCTTCCTCACCCACCCCAGCTCAGCCCCTGGGCAGCAGAGGAGCCCCCGCGGTGCCCTCCCTAGGGAGAGCCCCCTCTTTCCCCCAGCCACCCCAAGACTGCCAGCTTCCGGAGCCGGCCCCAGGAGGAAGCTCCCGGGGAAAACAACTCTGAAGTTGGCCAGAGGCACCGCCCCGGCTGCTGCTGCTGCTGCTGCTGCGGGCACCGCCTCCCCGCCCCCAGCCCTGGCATCCGGACCACGGGCCACCCAGTGGAGGCGATGGGGCCCAGGCAGGGGGGCTGCCCCGGGGGGCAGGACAGACCCTGAGGGCCACCCTGAAGAGTAGGAGAGCTGACCCCCTTCACACGAGCCAGGATGTTCCCTGCCTTCTTCCTCTTCCTCCTCCTAGGTAAGACTGAGCCCCTGCCCTCTTCTCTCCGTCCTCACCTAGCCCTCCATGGCTAGAGGGCTAGGTGCCCAACTCTGCCATGGTCCTGTCTCCCCAGCGCTCCAATTTTCTCAGCCTCTTGCCCCCACCTCCATCTCCTTCCCAGTCCCACTCCTCACCCCATTTATCACGATCAGAGAGCAGCTCTAACTTCCCAGGGCAGGCCTTCCCTGCCTGCCTTTCTGCCCACTTCTAGCCACCTGTTGCATTGCTTGCTGCCTTTCACTTCCCTGTTGCCCTAGGCCTGGGTCCCCTGGCTGCCCGGAGGTATCAGAAAGCTTCTTTTTTTCCTTCTCTGATTGGCTGTTCCCCAGTGACTTTCAAGGGTGACTCACTCTCCTGTCCTTTTCTTCCAGTTCCCCCAGGAGGCATCGGGGCCCACCTGGACCGGACCTTCTTTCCAAATCCGGGTGAGTAAGGGGAATCCTTGAGGGTCCCTCTGGGTCTGGGAGTCTTCAGAAGGGACGACACTGGTGATGGAGGAGGATAGAAATTCTCCCCACTCCCAACCAGAAGGGAACTACTTGCTTCTTCTCTGAGCTCCTGTACTACCTTTGACCCTAGAATCCCAGGACTGACAACTGGAGGGGACCTTAAGGATCATCTTGTCAAACTTGCTCATTTTATAGATGAGAAACTTGAGGCCCAGAGAGGTAGAGAAGTGGGGTACAGGGGACCCGGGTTCCTTGGTCCACCTCTGATGATTTCCTTTGTGACCTTAGGTGAGTCACTCATTCTTTCTGCAGCTCTCAGACTCCTCACTGTAAAATGAGGTGTTTATACATCCTTTCCAGCTCAAAATCGTATGACATAGCATGCCTAAGATCACACAGATGTTATTGTCAGAGAATCGATGCTCAGGTCTTCTGACTTCAGATTTAGACTTCTTCCCACTAAGGACCTTCGAAATCATGGAATTCAGCTGTTTTACATATTGGGAAGTCATCCCCTTCCATGCTGGGCTCTGAGGTCCCACACTTGGCTTCACTTAATCGGTCTTTCTCTGTCATTCACTCCCTCTAAATCTAGTAGCTTTTATTTTTTATATATGCATGTAGCCCAGGGGAAAAAGGAAGACACTTCTATAAATGTCAGGTCTTGTTAGTATTATCATCTCCCCAACTGGACTGTAAGGCCTATGATGGCAGAGTCTATAAGAGTGCCTTGGAATGGAGTGAACATGGAACCCAGAGTCGGGATACTGGAGTTCAGTTGTCTTGGCTTTCACTCTTACTAGGGATGTGACTAGGGGCTAGTTACTTAACTGTTTTCAGTTTCAAATAGGGATAATAACATTTATATCATGAAACTTAGAAGCAGCTGGTAGCACAGTGGTTAGAGTGCCAGGCTTGGAGTCAGGAAAACCTGTGTTCAAATTTGGCCTTACTAGCTATATGACCCTGGACAAGTCATTTAACCTCCATCTGCCTGAGATCCTGGGTGTAAATCACTTAACCTCTCCTTGCCTCCATTTCCTTAAATGTAAAATGGGGATAGTGACAGCACCTACTTCCCAGGGTTGTTGTGAGGATCAAGGTAGATGATATTTGTAACCCACCTGGCACATAGCAGATGCTATATAAATGCTTATTCCCTCCCCCCCTTATACTATACTTGTTGTTAGGAAAACACTTGGTAAGCCTTTAAAGATTTGTAGAAATGTGGTTTGTCTTTTGAGGGAAGGAGAAGGGAATTCCAGACCTGTGATTTCATTAGTATGGATGACTCTAATGAGCTAATTCCCTCTATTAATGCAGATTGGCAACTCAGGCTGAAATGTACAGTCCTAGAGAGTTGCCTGAGGACCAGAGAAGTTAAGCAGCTTCCCCATGGTCACACAGCTAGTACTTGTCTAAGTAGGACTTGACTGCTGGTCTTCTTGGCTCTAAGTCTGGCCTTCAATCCACTGTCTCTCCTTATCATTTTGGACCTTTTATTTCATCAGAACTGGGAACTATTAATGCACATCAGCATCTGCTCTTCTATATTTAGTATTGGAGGTTGCCTGGGGCACTGAGGGGTTAGATGATCTGTCATGGCCACCCAGCCAGGATGTGTCAGAGGAAGAGGCCTCCTTGTCATTATGATGAGGATTATTCATCTTTGTAACCCCACCAGGTAGCTCCGGGCCTTGTGCCAAGGAGGTGTTCTGGAAATATTTATGGAGCGTAATGTAATTTGGAGTGAGGGCTGAGAAGGAATGGGTGGGAGGAGAAGGGAGACTTGTCAGCCTGGGTATGGGGGCTTCTCAGGGTCTAGGATCACCCTCCTGTGTCTGGTCTCAGCTTAGCAGCTCTGCTTAAGGAGTCCAGGTCAAGAAGGGATGTCGGCCCCCAAAGATTCTAGGCCCAGTTGGAGGGCAAGGAGAGGAGAGTTCCCAGGGGCTCAGCCCCTACACCTTCCTCCTTGCAGCCTGCAGGGACCCTCCTGCTGTGCTCTCCGGTGTCCAGGGAATCCTGCAATGGCCCCAAGGCCGGGAAAGCCGTCTCCTTCCTATCACTTGCATCTGGGTCATCGTGGGCAGCAAGGAACAGACGATGACCATCAGGTAAGAACTAGAGCCAGATTCCTCTGGAAGTAGCCAGTGAGAAACCGTCTTGGGAGTTGGGGTGAAGAGGTTGGACATTGTCATGGTGTCTCCACCCTGGAGCCCAGTGGCATGGGTGAGATTATTCGATGTTGGTCTGACTCCTCATACCTTGAAGGCCAGTCCATTTTAAGGTCTGGGCAGGGTTGGTATTAGGCAAATGACTTTGTACTGTACTAGTCACACGCCCAACCCTATCCTCAAATTTTTTGGAATCCCTGTCCCCACCCCACAGCTAGATTCCTTCAGTCTTCTCTTCCTTCTACCCTCTCTAGTCCTGGGTACCATTAACATTTGTGGTAGCAGTAATGGATAGACCCTTACCCCAGGGCTGTTCAAGAGGGTCCAATCAGCAGTTCTTTACATTTTTAAAAATTAATCAACATTTATTTTCTCTCCCTCTTACTTTCTCCCCCCTCCATCATTGAAAAAAAAAAAGGGAGAGAAAAGAAAAACAAACTTGTTGTAACAAATATGCATAGTCCAGCCGAACAAATCTTCAAACTGATCAGGTTCAAAAATCTCATTCTGCATCTTGAATCTATCACTTCTCTGTCCACGGTCAAATAGTATTTTTCCAGGCCTACTAGATGTAGCAAGACCTGGAGTAGGGGAAGGAACAGGCTAGAGAGGATGGGAAAAATAAGGATGCCTAGTGTTCTGAATAACAGGCAGTGGAAGTCTGTCTGGTTTTTTTTTGTTTTAGTTGGAAGCCTGGATATTTCTAGTAATTGGGAGCCCAGAGAAGGGGCATAGGGTGTTCTAGACAAGAGGAGGGAAGATATTTCAGGGAAATCCTGTGGAAGATGGGTCAAATATACTGTATTTAACAAGCAAGCCCTAGACAAAGTATGAACATTATACTAGGACACTCCACCCCACCCACCTTTTGAAAATTGTTCACCCTTTGTATTTACTGTTTACTATAGGCCCTAAACTTTTGCTGTAACACATATCCTTTGACTTATCACAAAATAAATGTCTCTATGTCATTGAAAGCACAGTGTTCTGGCATTAAAAAATATATGCATTTCACTTCTATTTATTGCAGAGGTGGAAAATTATGGGTATTGAACCCTGACCACTGTTACACTTAATGCATTGGTTAGTTTCGAAAAAATGATATTTTTCTCTTTTTTTTTATTCCTTTTTAAATGGGTAGAAAAGGCCAGGAGGAATATATTTGAAGTAGACCATGATGTGAAAACAAAGGATGCCTCAATAAAAATTTTGAGGGAAAAAGGAAATAATTTTTATTTATAATAAAGTAACATTATAAAGTTTCTCTCATGATACCCCTTTGATGTTGTCCCTTGCCTCGTTTGCATACACTTTTGGCTCTGCTTAACAGACATAATCAAGGGAATGGGGTGTTATGGTTAATTGGCTAATCAGGGTAAACTGATATATCATCAGTGCCATGCTTAAATGCTTCCTAGCTCTGTGTCTGTGGATAAGAACACTTCACCCCTCTGACCTTATGGTGCCACGTCTATAAAGTGGAGAGTTCCATACTGTCACAGGGTTATTGAGAGAAAAGCCCTGAATGAACCATGGGAATGTGAGCTAATACCAGTATTTGAAGAAAATACAATAGCACAGATTCGTCCTTTGCCCTTTTGACACTTTGCTTCCTATTATTGTAACCTCCTTGAGGGCAGGGATTATGTAGTTTTTCATCCATGCCTCTCCGGTACCTGAGATAGCACCTTGCAAGTAATAGGCACCTACTTAATCCATTTTGGGGGGATTGAATTGAAAAGAATCATGTCTGTGTAGGATGATTCAGAAGGACATCCAAAATCTCCTTTGGCCTGAGGGTTATAGCAGTTCCCATTGGTGATCCTTGTATGAGACTAGAAAAAAAATTCTGGTTGTTACTGAGTTCTAGATAAAAAGATGCTTGCTGTACTTGGGATCCTGGAGTAAAGAAAGTGAATCTGTAACAACCCATAGTCCAAGCCAGTCAATCTCCCCAGCTGTACAAAGCTTTAAAAAAGTTTTGTTGATGCTTTTTACTTCCATTTTTTATTTTTAACATCATTTGCACTTCTCTTTGCCCCCTCACCAAAAAAAAAACACGCTCCCTTGTGACAAAGAAATACAGTTGAGCAAAACAAATAAACATATTGGCAAGGTCTGAAAACGTGTCTCATTCGGCACCTCTTGTCCACCATCTTTTTTGCTAAGATATAGGCGACGTGATTCATTCCATTCACCCCTAAAGGTGAATGTCGGTGGCAAGAGTAGCAGACTTAGAGCTAGAAAGTAGCTCTGCTGGCTATTGGATGCAAGTCACTTAAAACTCTTCAGTCCCCCTTGCTCCCACCTGTAAAACATGGATGACTACACTAATATCAACTCTTGGGGTTGTGAGGATCAAATAAAATGCTCTTGGTAAAGTACTCTGTGGACTATAAATCGCCACACAAATACAACTCTAAAAGTCCTGTACTCTCCTGAGTGGCTCTTGTTTCTGCCTTACCGTTCAAGTTAGGGAGTTGATGGGGGTCCAGGGAATGGACTCGTAGTATAACTTCTGGTTCTTTTAGGTTCCAGAAGTTGCATCTGGCATGTGGCTCGGAGCGTCTGATGCTGCAGTCCCCTCTCCAGCCATTTATTTCCCTGTGTGAAGCACCTTCCAGCCCACTCCGGTTCTCTGGAGGCAACGTCACCATCACCTATAGCTATACCGGGAATGGCCGGCCACTGGGACAAGGCTTTCTGCTTTCTTATATGCAAGGTGGGCTAGATAGGGGGAACCCCATAATAAAAGAAAGAGGAAGATTCCATAGGCCCCAAGGGTAGGAATTGTGGTAGATCA